CTTCAGCGCTCTGTTAAGTCGGGAGGCCTCAAAAGCTAGAGAAATAAATGCATTTGTCATCGGAGTACTGCATGTGTGGTCCACGTCATTTGAACTACAGAATGATCCAAACAAGCTTTCAAGATCTAGAAAGAAATGCTGGAAGTGAATGGAAAATAAAGGTCCTCTAAATAAACTGGCAGAGCAAAGTGACCTTGAAGAGTGTAGCGCACTTCACATAAGAAACAGAAGATAACAGAAATATTCAGAGTCTTCACTGGGAGTAAGAGAGTTGATGTAGTAGCTTTTGCACAGGACAAGAAAGAAAATTATGTTGCTTAGTTTGGAAATGAGAAGAGTATGAGAACAAGGACAAGGAGAGTCACAGAGGCTTGATGAGGCAAGCAGAGTCACAGAGAGACTGAGTAAAGATGAGGCAAACAACTGTGCATTGCCAGGTGTCAGGGAAGAGAGCGGCCAGGGAGGAGGCACTCCTAATAATGAAAGGAAGGTACTGAGAGAGGCCTTCTGAAAGAATGAGTGCAAAGCTGATCTGCCATTTACTTACTGCTGAAACTGGAGTGAGGGAGAAAGAACCATGCTCCAAACTGAGCTTCCCTCTTGATTTCTTTATATGGCATCAAACATGTAAAGTCACAGTCGGAAGAAGGTCGCTTGCTGTTCTAGGTACGGAGATCCTATTTCCACACACATTTCTCTAGACCCACTGAAGTTCATAATCATGTGTTATCAAATCGCATATAAAGACAAATTCAAATACCGAAATGTAACCAAGAGCTGCAGCCAACAGTCCTCTAAAATATTTCCATGAGCTTGATTCATGCTGCTTATAAAATGTATTTATTCAGTGGTTTATGCTTAGTAATAAGTTAAAATGCACTGTGACCAGATACAGTAATTCCGGGATACTTTAGTCTGTCCTGTGAGGGAAGCAATCTGAATAAGAAGACCCTAAAATTTCACAAAAAATTTCTCTCTTGGAAATAAAAGAATGGAAATGATCAGTTCTTAGTGCATGCCCAAACATTTCTCTTTAACATCTGTGAAGGAAAAATAGTTTAAAGTTAATAATAAAACCCTGTCATATTGCCTTTTTAAATGAGATGAAGCGTTGCTGGTTTATGATGTAAGATGTACAGCATTAACTGGCTGAATTTCCAGAACTGCTAGTTCTGCAGTTTACCAGTTAGACCCTTCAGAGAACAGAGAGTTTTTATTACATGTGCTGAAGCTGCTAATTAGAATAGAAAAGGCCAGAAAAATGGAGAAGAGTTCCAAAGCTAATGGAAATTTCGAATGTTCAGTGACTGTCAGGATTTGCGTTAAGAAGAGCAAAGGTACTCACAAAATGTAGCAGATAACTCCTATACTCCACATATCCGTTTCATATCCAATAGGTTCATAGTTTATAACTTCTGGAGCCACAAACTCAGGTGTCCCAAAGAGAACTTTCAGAGAACCTGCATTTTCTGTGAAGATTGAAAGAAAAAACCATTAACTGCTGCATGTAGATCTTAAAAACCAATGATTCCCCAGTAACAGGAAAACCAGTTTTGTCCTCATATTTGTGACTTTGTTGAAGATCCTTATCAGAAAAAATAAATAATGCCTGAACTGCTATTTCCTTAGCTAACACATATAGCAATAAAGAATTATTTATTAAGCATCCTCAAGCACCAGCACTGTACAAGGCACACAATAAGAAGGTTCCTATTGCAGAGAGTTTCCACAAAACCAAGTCTAAGAAAGAGGAGAACTGTTAGTGTTTAATTCAGATTTGGATGTCCTGAACTATAAAAGTGTTTTAGCCTCCATCACTTTAGCAGTTGCACAAGAGGACTTCAGGATTCCAGGGTTAGAATGCAGTTGAAGTTTCTACAAATTCTCTAAGATTTATCAAAGCTCAGGGATTCTACTGTAAAGAGAAACAGCAGTGATAAAATTATAAGAAGAAGAAATAACTATTTTTAATCCTACACATTTTTTATAGTTTGAACAGGAAGGAAAATCAATACTGGGCTGCACGTCTCTGAAATCTGAAGTGGCACGGGTCAGTGGTGAAACAAGAAAAGAAGCAGATGATGCGCACCTGTCAGGTCACTGTGTTGTCAGTAAAATTGGGTTTCAGGCTGCTCTCAAAGCCAGGCTTGCCTGCAAGCGTACCTGTGGAGCTCCAGAGTGGTGAAGGGGGACCACCAATGCTTAGTCATCAGTTGCCACTCCAAACTATTTTTCAGCGGCCTGTGGCACAGGTGTCCTACATTGGCTCTGCTTAAACACGTGGATGCTTTTAAAATGAGCTACAGTGCAGCTACTGCTAGCAATATGGACTGAAAGAATGAGGTTGTGGGATGCACCAGTATTGCTCTACTAGAAAATACAGGGGTTAGGGTAGAATTACAACCTGTAAAGAACCCCGTATGACCAGTTTATGCTGCCAGTGATGTGTCTAACTTCTGGTCATAGCGTGAAGTCATTGAGATAGAATTTACTAGGGAAATGGGCTCATTGTCACTGACGCTCATTCTAAATAGGATGGGAAGAAGAAAAGAATAAGCAAGTTCGGGAAGGAAGGAAATGAAGGGATAGATTAAGGATTGGAAAAAAAACAACCCACAACAATTCTAGTAAAAAAAAAATTATAAAAGTATAAAAATGTCAGGAAATAAATTGTTTCTGACTTGAAATGGGCTTGGATTTAGGTTGAAAAACTTGTCCAGTCTGCACAAGTCCATAAGCCATCAGTGTTTGCCTTAAGTGAGATTCATTGCATTACATTTAGCTTTTGTGCGAGAGTAGCATCCAGATTAGGGACAGTAGAATGACATAGTGAGGAATCATCCCTTTCCCAAAGAGATCACCATCTGAACAAAACACATATTAGTGGTTGTAATGTAAGGTGTAACAGATTCCAATGCTACTCCTGTTAAGTTTACCACAAGTACAAGACTTGCAGCTCTACAATCAAGAGAAAAGCTTAAAAAACCTCAAACAGCAGCAGATCAAAGTTTTGAAAAGACTGAAATAGAAGCTACTTGTCCACAACACTGAATCCCTACAGAATATTTTTATTTACCAGAACTTCCTCTACCAAGTTTTGCAACATAAATGCTGATCCCAATACTGACTCTGCACCTGCCGTTACCTCCACTGGAAGCTGTTAAGCCATTTCATAAAATGTAATGGTACACCTAAGTTAGCACTCTTTGAGGTGTGCAAACCCCCCGCTTACCAAATGAAAACTGAAGGATACATGGGTTAATAACTTGCCCAATGACTGAAGAGCGTGCTTGGGGGACCTTGTGAGCACTACCGCAGTAATTCGCTCACAGTCGTGCCAGATTCTCATTTTAAATGCTGTGAAACCCTTTTTGCTCTGCTCAGTTATGATGACAGTAAATTAATTGTGGAAACCTCATTTTCACACGTTATCCCTGCTTTCAGAGGCGCCTCCATGCAGAAAGTCCCCATTTCTAGAGACAGAAACAGACAGAAGAACGCCTGGAAGCAGCCCCAGGAAATCACCTAGATCCTCCCACGCAAATTCACTGCCATCAAGATCTTCCTGCCAAATGTCTGACTAGCCTTTAAAAGGCACATTCAAAAGCTATGCCACAACATGCCTACGCTCCCCTAACCAGAGTTTTCTTACCCGAGACAGTGGGATCCTTTTCCTAATACCCAATCTAAACTGACTCAGCCTAAAATGAGGGCAATGTCTTCCCCACAGTGGCAATGAGGAGAGATCACCCTTCTTTTCTAAGCACAAATGGGAAGCCTGAGATCCCATCTTCCCATCTGCCTTCTTTTTAAGGTCAATGCCTACATCTTTTTTCCAACTGTCCTTTTGAAAAATTATTGAAATTTGTCACAAAGAACCTATTTTCTAAAAGCTTCATCGTGATTGTCCAAGCCTCAAGCTCGGATTTTCACATCCAAGTTTGGAGGCTTTTCTGTGCACTGTGTAAACTACCATGAACCACTGTGTATGCAAAAGGCTGGTGTATGAAACGAGCTGCCCACAGGTCAGGGAAATGTTTTTTTGAAAACATGGCATTTGAGTGCGAGCATAGAGTGTGAAAGAACTGATACAGCATTTTCTGTGTATAAGAGTAAAAAAAAAGAAAAGAATAAGACTTTTTCTATGCAATAATATGTCAAATCTTTACCCAGATGTTTACAAGCTTAGTACACAAGTAGGATCTGTGTTTGGATATCCCTTAGTTCAGATAGAAAGCTGACAAGCTAGCTGGAAACTGTTGCCGACACTGTGTATAATCAACTGATGAAAAAAAAAAATCTTTACAGTACTCAAAACCCATTCTCTTTTCTCCTCAAGAAGTTTATCTTAAACAATTTTCTACATGTGTTCCTCAGCACACCAAAAAAGGTCAGGAAAATATCCCACTGCAGCTTCGGTATTTCCTGACAGTGTAAGAGAACTAATTAGCTGCAGAAGATGACTGCAGAAGGAGCTGATCCTGATTTCTTTAAAACTGATCAAAACGCTGAATACTTAGAGGCATTAGTTTGCACTAGTTACCAAAAAGTTGAAAGTAAATCTCAGAAGTCGAAGTGCAAAATCAGCCACTGTTCCCTTCGGCAGTCCCTTGGTTGAATGAATTCTGCTCGATCGGGATCAGGTCCATAGCACGAGGGCTCCAATTGCACGTCAATCAAAGCCAAAGAGAATTTGACTGCCAATTTCAAAACCATAAGGCTTGATGGAACACAAGTGGAGGAACGTGCCCTTGGTGCACCACAGAAGACAATCAGCAAGAAGAGGGCACTTAGTGAAAAGTGGTTCCAGCCATTTTTGTAAGTGAACGGAACAGTAAAAATTGTTTTCTACTTTTGGAAGACACCTCAACCAACCCATTGCGAACGCCTTCATGATTAACACAGCGCTTCCGCTTTATGGGCGTGGAACACGGGAGGGCACTTGCTCTTCCTAAGGAAACGCCACACACCCCGAGTTACCCAGAACGGCACGCCGATGAAGGGAACAGCAAATACCTATGAGGTAACCCCGCAAGAATCGGCAACCTATTAAGCCAAACGAATGTACAGTGTTGTGAAATCAAAATCGGCGTCAGGGCCCATAGCTCTCATCCTTCCGCATCGAGGGAAGTTCTGTGTAGGTTAGAGGTTTACTGCGTACGGCGCGAGTGCAGCAGCTCACAAGCTAGTGTCAGCCGTGCAAGACACAGTGATGCCACAAGAGTTAACACAAAAATGGAAAAGCTGATGGGTAAGAACAAGCTACTGAAAACAGGATCTTCCTTTTGCTAAATGTGGGTTTAACTGTCGTTTGAGGTTAAAAAGGTAGTTGGATAAATTTCTATAAAAGGGCCATTCTGCGGTTACATTATATCTTTTGTCGACGAAATCCACTCAGCTCAGCACTAAATGTATAGTTTCCAGGCTGACAGCTGGAATGTCATGGGACAAAGTCTTTCATACCCCTCTGATAACAAAAACTTCAGCACTGGAACTTATTTAACAGTTCCTGTTTCCTAAGACAAATGAAATCTGGTTCATGCTCCCAGAAAACTATTGGCTCCGTACTGGTGGAGGAGCATAAATGGCAGCGATCTCCTTTTTTTACTGAATGAAATAACCACCTTAGAGTTCACAGTGTCCATGTGACCAAGATTCATGTAATACCCTTTTGGAGCTGAACGCCATCTAAAAACCTGAAAAGCAGATTTCTTTTCCCCTGTTCATTCAACATACCGATTTTAGTCTGGTTTAGTAAAATTATATTCTTGGCTATGCAGTAGTCTGTACTGTGACAAAAGAGGTAGGATGAGCAGCATGTAGGCCGATAACAAAGACCACAAGGTTGTAATGCCAAACTTTACACTTACAAAAATCATTGTTCTGCTTTTTAATAAGTATTAAATATAATTCTGTTTAAAAAAGGAAGGCAAAAGATTACAACTAAGAGTCTAGCTGTGGGACCTTTTATATAGCGAGTAGCAATTCATATGAGTTGTCCCAATCAATTTAGTGGCAGAAGAGCCACAAATCTCCGCTCTCCCTATGTAACAGGTTCATAAAGTATTTTATCTCCTTTCAATTCCTGGAATGATTTTTTTTTCTGTTGTGAAAATACAAGATAAAAAAAGATCAGCGTGTGATGTTGGTATTATTTAACAGTAACAAACACAACCGGAGGGGCTGCTTTTTAAAGCTGAATCAATGCTGAGCAATATGAAGACAAGAACCCTCCAAGGTCTTTGGCTTTCAAATTGCAGCACATGTTGGAAAGCTTGGTCCAAAATGAATGACAGGAAGCAGCTCAGAACAGCTTAGGAAGAGGAAGAGCTTGTCACATGGAACTCCCTGCCCCCACCCCCCAAATCCCATTGCACCATTTTTAAGTAGCCCTATTTTATTCATCATTTTGAGCATGATCAAAACACAAATCTTTATAGAACTCCTCCCATGTTTAACATGTATGACAACAGGCTGCTGTTTAGGACAAGAAACGATAAAACTAATGGGGAAATGTAAATGGAATATAATTATTCATATCTGAAAGGCTTCTAGCACATCACCTTAACTCCTGCTGTTACAAAAGTCAAGGATTTGTAGCATTGATGAAGAACAAGGTTTTGTTCTATTTTTTACAGTTAAAGAGTTAGTGTCTTATGGTTTCCTGTAGCAAATAAATATTCGTTAACATTACTACTACTGTGTAATTTACCTGGAGCGATACTCTAGCCATAGAAACCGATAGGTGGATTCCACACACTTCACTGCAAACTCTTCTTGAAGATGAGGTGCCCTACTCTCACTCCTGAATGTCTTCTTCTTCCCTTTCCTATTTTTTCCTAAACCCAGCACTATTTATAGGAAACATGTCTATTTACGCTTTAGACATGAAAGAAGGTAATAGTAAGTATGAATCACGGCTTCTCCTGCCCTTTTCCCCATGTCATATTGAAATAGGCAGAAAAGTCATTACCTAATCTTCTTGCAAGTCCAAAGTCAATGAGTTTGATACTTGTACCGGTCTTGTTGACACACATAATATTTTCTGGCTTCAAATCCAAGTGGACAATACCCTGCTTATGGATGTACTGAACTCCTTCTGAAATCTGCTTCATATATTTAATGCACTCTCTCTCTGTCAGTTCAAAGTCTTCATCAATGATTCGTTCAAAGAGTTCTCCTCCAGAAACCCTACAAAAGACAGAATAAAAGAGGACTTCTGTAGCATTTTCATTTTGGGAGTGATCAAACTGTTTCCCTTACAGAAACACAGGTGGTTCAACCTTGCAATAGTCACTTCAGGACACAATCTGTGCTTTGTAATGGCACTTGCCATAGACACAAGGATCACGTAGGAAGTGTGTGTATAAATCAATAGATTTTTTCCATTCTGAATCTTTCCCAGGTTAGGACTGTGAGACACTCGATACTGTTATCCCAGGCAGTAGGGATGTAACTGGATTTACATCCTGCCGTTAGGATTCAGGCACCCGCAGCTGGCAGTAAAGCGTGTGCTGTGTGACTGTCACCCTGCTGAGGTGTTTATAACACCGCTCCAGACTGAGCTCATGTTTCTCGCTGCTTCCTTCCCTCCTATGTGCCATCGCTGCGCAAGTGCACAGACAACATAAAGAACGCTAAAATCCATGGGATGGGTCCCAGGAAAAGAGGATAAAACTAGCAGATGAGCAAAAATTTGGGAAGAAGAGAGTGACAAAGAAAGGCTGAAGACGGAAGAATTCAAATGATATGGTTAATTGGAATGCAAAGCTTGAAGGGTAAATTACTGACCCCAGTGAGCTCAGAGGGAACTTCCTCCTTAGCTGTGACAGGGCGAGGATATAACCCACAACTCTGTCAGTGCTGGTATTTTTAGCTGAGCGAGCATCACACGCCTTGTAGGTCAATTCCATTTTTATGCTTATTTAAGATGTGAAATGGTCTTTCCAGGGTAGAATCTCCTGGATTGAACTGTTTGTGGAACTAAAGTGGGACATTTTAACCTAGATTTAATAAAGCAAAATTTAGGTTGTGGTTTGTTTTGTTGTTTGGTTTGTTTTGGGGTTTGGCTTTGGTTTTTGTTTTGCTTTGTTTTTTTGTTTGTTTGTTGGGTTTTTTTTTAATTCTGAGTAATCACTCCACTGCTTTATCTGCTTATGTCCAAAGATGGGAAATAATTTTTTTGCATGCAGTGGGCGAATGACCCATACAGAAAGGAGCAAATGGTGAAGAGCAGCTTTGCTTCTAGAAATCTGTTCTAAATTAAACACTCCGTGGTCTTTATATGGCTTAATATTTTGCAGCATTCATGCTTATTGCCAGATGTAATTGCACATTTCAGTTACAGAAAGAAAATACACAACTGAAAACTGGCCTTGCAATGTTTGCAGTTTGTCAGATAGATGATTATATCCCTCATATACTAAACTGAAATTGAAACATCTGGAGTTCTGGGCACATTTATTGCTTTGGCTATAAGATCCGAAAATATAAACCTAGAAATGCTACCACAGTTTCCTATTAACATGAAAATAGTAAGAATAGCATATGCTTGACAAACTGAGAGGTTACGTTGGATTATAGCACATTTGTAACATAAAGTCAATAATATGGCTAGAGCTGCTGAATAAACAGCTCCGAGAAGTCGGGGAACTAGTATTTTGTTACTTCAGTAAGACATTAACCAGTATGGAGGTGTTTATGAAAACATCCGCAGGAAAAATGGTTATCTCTGGAGCACTCTGCAATTCCAAATGATAACCATCCTAATACTAAAAAGTACCAGTTGTTTTTTGACTATTTAACACAGATAACGATGACTTATTTTTACTATCGAAGTGCCACGCTTGCAGATCCCTAAAGTGAAAAATTTTCGGAAATTGTACTATTGTCTCAAGCACCACTTCTTAGCACATTATTTGGAAATCAACTAATGTTAATACATCTGCATGCTGGTTTTACCCTGGGACCTCCGGATACTCTGGTAACATCATTAGATTAAACTGTGATTGCATTTATAGAATGAGCATTTTTGCATTTATATCCTGAGCCAAATCCAGTTTAATTTTTGCCAGGTTAGGAAGCCAATGCAGATTAGGTTCTACATGTACACAGAAGGAGAAGTTGGCTTTCTTCAAACAGTCACAACTAGTTCAGAATCTAAATCGCTCAGTCTTTTCTGGATTCTCCTCTTTTCAGTCTTCTCTAGAGGAGGTCATAGAGGAAAATATTCCTGTTATAGAGTCACAGAATACACATTTAAAAAATATTTTATTATAAGGTTTTGGCTATGGAGGAACAGAGAGAAGAGGCAAATACTCAATTGCATTTTAAGAAATGTCCCTTCGAAAAAAAGAGAAAACCTCAGTGACTTGTGCCAGCTTAAATCATGCTGAATCAATGGAGTTTACTGCTGAAATTTTGCTTTAATAATCTTAACTTGCAATTCGATAATCTTCTGATCTATGTCAAAATAAACTGACTATCTGAAGTACATAAAAACTTTAAGGTGCTTAGCTCCCAGTGCTGAATGCCATTCACGACACACTGCTATTTTTCAGATACTCCTTCTCCACTGAGCTGCTTATTGTGGAATCAGTACATCGCTATATTCAAAAAGGAAATGCCTGAGATTTGCCCCTGACTTCCAGCAAATGGCAGATGGGAGGGCTTCCAGGGAAGAGCACATCAAGTGATTTGAATCACTATAGTGTGTGATTTTAAATGAATGATTAAAAATTCTGAATTTATTGTAAATACAAAATCAAACCATATGAAGTAGGGCCATGACAAATATTAAAAGGAGAGAGGGCGAAGTTCAGAAAATTCTAAGAAAGATATGGGAATAAAATTAAAATGAAAAATTTAGGATGAGTATCAGGGAGAAAAATCCCAATGTGCTTCTCATCGATAGCTCCAATTGGAATGGAGGGGAATCTGCTCAATTCCAGCGGCTGCTAAAATCTGGTTTAAAAGGAGACTGATGGCAGGTGACCTTGATCTATTTGAAATCCACGCATTTAAACTCTGATGGGAGTAAAGAGAACAGCTTGGATACTAAGAATTTTTGAAGGTATTTCCCACAACTTCTCCGATATGCAAAGAACTATTAGCTTAATAGCTAAACCAGAAACGATCCATCAGTGGCTCTCTAACAATACAGGTGCAGTTGCTGTGTTGGGACTGTGTCAGCTGGGTGACATGACAGTAGAGAGGCTACCAAGTCATCTGACATGAAGGTGTCACACAGGATCTCACTGCCCAGACCTGCTCCAGAGCAGGGACAGATTTACTGCCTGCCCGTGTGCTGCTTCGTGAACCCCTCCTCCTCCAGCTCTCGACACTATGGAAATTTCAGTGGGGGGGTTCAAAAGCTGGAAAAGGTGGCCACCCCAAACTAAAATCACATCCAAATTAGACTGGTGAACAAAACTACTTCAAATTTGATTGCACTTTTCTAGATTTTTAAAAGTAACCCCCCTTTGTTCGCAGGGGGAACGAATGGAGTGTAAAGCCATATGCTATTCAAAACTCTTTATATGTTTCCTTGTTTTCCATTAGGTCTGCCAGCTCCCAATTCCAAGCTAAGTAGGGCTCCCTTCCCTTACCATCATCAGCTTGCTCAACTGCTGAGTCTAAAAATAAAAACACCTTCTTGCACATAAGTTCCAAGGTTGTATAATGGAGATCCAGTCTCTGAAATCTGCTAGTGCAGTAGTAGCTTGTACGTAAGCCAGGCAAGTGCCAAGTAAGCAAAATAGACATATAGTCTCTTTTGCCTCTAACGATTTATATCTTATTCAGCACTTCCAGCCAGCAAAAAACCTGCTTCCCCTCTAGCAGCAGACAGCACATGAAGTAGATGTGACAGCGGAACGGTAACTTATGTAACGTTTTGGGAAAAACATCAGCACAGATCAGTATTTCATTTTCTTTCCAGCTGCTACTGCCACAAGTATGGGGTTCACACTAAGCAGGTGCATAATGGATGATGTAAACGTTGGTCGTGCTGGTCATTACTGTTTTTGAAGTCCGACCATTACTTTCCATCCCATGCTGTGCAGATTCTTTTGTTATGATGAATTCTGGTGCATGAATATGTTCTGAACCTTTTTTTTTTTTTTTTTCTGGAAGAAAGTATCTACTATCTTTAAGTACAAAGACACCCAAGTCAGAGCTCTGCGGGATGCTTTACAGCACTGCTTTTGTGGTGCTTTTCTGCTGCTTCCCACAGTGGTGTGGCGTTAAGTAGCTCAAGGCAAAAAAATTCTGAGAGGTAAAAATAAGTGTTGCTATCTTACTCAGCAAGAACAAGACAGCAACATAGGATAGGCTGTCTTCAAATTCAGCCTTCCTTAATTGTTTAGCTTCGGATGAGAGTAAAATGAATTTCAACTAAAGGTGCCTGTGTGAATTTTTCATGGAAGTTCAACTATTTTGTTAGAATGTAGCTTAGACGTTTGCATTCTCAAGCATATCTTTCTCTGCTACCATCTGTGGTGCACTGACCTTCAATTCTCTGCAAGAGACAACCGATCAGTGTTTAAGTGAAATGTGACACAAGCTTCTTCAATACATGTTTAGAATTGCCTAAAAAAAAACCCCAAAACTTTCTCCTCCTTAAACATGTTTTTGGTTCTAAATGCAAGTCCAAATTGCAGCTAACTTTTTTTCTCTCCCCTCCCAAGTTGGCAATACAAGAGTGAACTGCAGAAAAACACCACATGTACTTGATTAAAAAACAAACAAACTAGACAATAAAGACTGTAACACATCTTCACTGATTTTTAAGAGATACAACACAGACTCCCTTACACGGTTTAAACGAGTTGGATAAATAATTGGAAAAACTTGCAAGATGTGAAAACCATCCAGGCCCTGCAGATCCTGAAGCTTTTGATGGTCCCACATCTGGGTAAGCTGCTACTTTTGTACACACAGTTGTTTTCAACATTATTAGCTTTGTTAGCATGATCTGCTTTATACTTACATTTCCAAGACCATAACGATGTTGGCTTTTTCTTCAAAGGCATCTACACATTGGACAAGTTTTGGATGATGTAGACAGTTCATGATGCTGATCTCATCTCTTATGGTTTCTTTTTCCTTAGCAGAATACGCTTTGAAAAATTTTCCTGCCCAAACTTTTCCAGTCTTCTTTTCAACAAGCCTAAAGACTTGTCCAAATTTCCCCCTGAAAATATACAACTATTTCCATAAAACATTTTTGCAATGTATGGGCCACCATGAATAGCAACGTTTTACTAAATATTCCAGCACAACCACTCCACCCTGAAATAAAATATCTTCCTATCAAGTACAGTTCTGTACTGATTTTGTGCAGAGTAATCTGCAGGAACTCTTGCATGAATACCACATTTGAGCCACGCCGCTATTCCAATTAGCAAGTTTTACGTAGGAGGGTTCAGAAAAAGGACTCCTACCCGGGTTTAATTCATGTGACTTAAGTTTTTCTGCACACGGTTTTCTATAGGTCATACACCTCTGAAGGGGCAGCAGATAGGAAACATCTCGGGTATAGTATATAGGATATAGGTGGAATCAGATTCTGAATGCTAGAGGCTTCAGTATTATTATTTCACACTGCTGGATATGTACAATTCCACTACACTTATCAAGATTTGTTAATGGCAGCACACAGGATCCCCTGGCCTTCAGCACCACCAGCAGCACAAATTGCTGAAAGATTATCACGGCATGCAATTCACATAACCACGAGTTTGAGCACTGAGAAACCCAGCCAGGCTAATCACTGACCTTCACTGAGCAATACTATTAATGCTCTTGGGATTATGACCGCTGTCAACAGAGATTCTAGCCCGTGGGCAGGATAATCTTATTACCACTAATGGATATAATGGAAATGCAAGTACACAATGTGTACCTTTTGTTCAGCTAGCTTTTAGAACACTGAACAACGAACGAATCCTCTAGCTTCGTTCATTTGTGGGCTCCATTCTCCTTGCCAGAAATGCATGTAGTGCCTATTTAAAATTATCAACTAATAGGAATAAAGGTTCTCTATGGAGTAGAGGCCAACATATGTTAAAATCTATTTTTACTGCGACAGAGGAGCCCCGCTGGAATGTTGAAAGGGCAAGATGCCGCCAAAGAATGAATGCACATGATCTTTATAATTGACTGGCAGCCTTGAAAACTCCGTGTCTTCAAAAGCACAACATAGTACTTACGATCCCAGTCTTTCTTCAATATTATAGACATCTGAAACTTTTTGTTCCGTGTTGATAGTAACTGTCCGATACTCGGCCTCTGTTTCTTTCCCTTCTACAAAAAAGTATGAAGGACCATGATTAAAACCTCCATAAAACATGAATTAAAACCACATATTTGCATTTGTCCAGATTAAAATATGTACTTCTTACCCTCATCGGACAGCTCCACTTCGTCCTCTTTAAGTTCTATGACAGAAATAAAAGGACACGTGTAACTTATTATATAAGATACAGTACTTACATAAGATAGTCAAATTATTCACAGTAACACGGGCAACTAGCAGCAAAAAGCAGTCAGGGAGTTTGTGCATTAACTTCATACTTAAAATCTCTTCACCACTTCTACATGACTATTGACTACACAATCACAATCTGGTCACCATTTCTTAATAAATCAAGTTCATCTGTTTTGCAGCATTGGTCTATTATACCTGCCTACTAGAAACATCAGCATACCGAATCAGTTCAAAGTCATCTACTGAATAGCTTTAGGAATGTCTTAGTGAAATAGACAATAAATTAAAAATATGAAAATCAGTAACAACACTTCTGGTTCAATGACAAATCATTCCCTGGCTTTTCTATGCAGTTTTTGGATTGCAAAGCCAAAAGTAAAGTAAATTTGTACATGAAAAGATTTCCTGCAAAACTTCCAGACAGATTTTTCAGACTCAAGGTGACTAGAAAATTTGGACAGCATGCACTTTCCTGAGCATGGCTGAATTTTGAAATCATTGAGGTCCAAACAGAGCATACTCAAAGGCAGGCAGAGATGATGGCAAGCCCAGTAACATGACAGAGAGTAAAGGCTGTCCTGAGAGTCTCGATTTTAATTTTTAATTTTCACGTGCATGCACTGTCAGTAGCACTGGTTTGTGCGTTGTTCCCTATGTGGCCTGCAGGTACGAGGGGACAGGGGCTGTGGTTGGAATGTTGTTATATATTACTTACACTGCTTGGGCTTGCTCCTAAGACCTGTGGCTGTGACCAATAACTTGAGGAACTGCAAAGGCAGTTGCACAGCGACCTGCACAATTCTCCCTATATCTGCTGAAGCTGCACTTTGCCACCGCAGAGAGCAAGCTTAACCAAGTGATTTATCCCCACTGTGTCAACAGATTTATGTTATGAAACATTAATGCAGTACCCTGGCTGCTGTTAGGCACCTCATAGAGTTATATGCAGTGGATGAGAAGAAAACAACAGATAAAAAGGGCGCAGGGTGAGCAGATAGCTGGTCTGACACATGGGCATCACCTTTTCACATCCAACACGTAGCGCCCCATCCGTATTCTGGTAGCAAAGCCATTCAAGTCGATACAATCTGTTACCAAAGTCCTCCTCTCTTTTTTCGGGATTTGCAACCCTCGTATGTCCCAGCACAGACCAGCTGGTTTGCAGCAATTTACCAGAAGAGCAGGCAGGGAAGCGAGCCCTCCATGCTCAGGGGTAGCTGTCCTCAGATCTTCCTCAGCTAAAAACCACACTTGCACAGAGCACATCACATTTTCCTCCCCTTTTAAGGGCTGCATAAGGGAGCTGATCCCAGCCACGCTGCCAGTAGTTAATGTCTGCCAAATACTGATTAGACAAAGAAGTCAGTTCCCGGTTCTGCAGCGACACTATATTGAAGCCATCATCTAGAAACATTTTGGTCCAGCAGTGGAAGCCTAAATTAGATAAGTGGAACATATCTGAGCTTGGTAACTGCTGAGTAGCCATGCTAAAACCTTTCTCAGAAATGAGTAAATGGTACCAGATTTTCCTCAAACACGGCAATGCCTATTTTAATCTGTTGTGACTTACAATCTTGTCTTAGTAGCTGCTTTCTTTAAATGCGCAGTGAAACGTTAGCCACGCCTTTCTTCACTAAGATTATACTGAGATTGCTAATATGCGCTGGCCACCTCAATATGAAAATCTGTAATCAGTCTTTCTGGCGGCAATGGAAAATCCCTAGTTACTCAGCTAAGTGTTTATATAGATGACAGCTTAAAGTCCTGACTTTGAGAGGTGCTGAACACATGCATTTTCCACTGCCCTTAAGTAAAGCACCACTTATATTCACACACTTGAAAAATCACGCTTTGTATGACATGCCCTTTCTCCACGCCAGCTGCAGTATCAAGTACTGAAATCAAGAAGTCCTGGCATTAAGAGCACCAAGACAACCCACCCCTCTGCAGACAGAATATATTTTCTTTTCACTGAAAACAGCTTTTTTTTGGGTGGTTTTATATGTATCACAATGATTCATACACTTTCTAGCCTTTTTGTATTAAACCTAGATAAGAAAAGTTTCAGTCTGAAAAAGAAAAAACAGCATGTTGGCTTTGGTCCAGCACAAGTAGTGCTTGCTCTAGGAAAAACAAATGTGGGGAAGAGTCAGGCCGCCACTCTATAAGGTGTTTGTCCTGCAACTAAAGAAAGAGGGCATTCAAACACAGGGAATTTTATTACAAAAAGCCAATACCATCTAGCTTTTCAATTTTTTATTGGTACTCTTAATGTTTATTTTCCCTCATTTGAAGAGAAGCTGCATCTTGATTTAGATCAGGTTTTAGATCTTTAGAATAAAGTAATTTCTCAGAATGCATCCAATTTAGCACTTGAAAAGAAATACAATTTATTTTTGTTTGGAAATGTCTGTTGAGAGGCTTACACAGTTGTGTGATGCTGCACCACTTCGCTAGCACTTTGTCTTGCTGTGGCAATAAAAGATAACATCAGAAGGGTTATGTGAGACACTTAAAACTCCAAAGCCCTGCATACATAAGTAAAGAGGGAGAGATACAATACATAGTCCACTCCTCAAAGACAGGAAAAATGGCAAAATACATTATTCCTGGTCTGGGCTTTTCGGTGTGGTATGACTATCAAAGTGATCCTAGCACAGTAGGTAGATGTGGGCGTGCACAAAAATATGCAGTCAATATCTATTTGTAAAAAATAATGCTGATTTTCGTGTGTGTTTAAAATTTTCGTGCCAGCTTCCAAGTAATTTCTAAAATGCTCCAGCTCTTCCCATTAGTCCTTTGAGAAGATCTTAAGCAGAAAAGACATTTGCAAGTATGTGCAACTGTAATAAAAATCCCTAAAAAAATATTTTAGCACCCATAATGCCGCAAAACCAATGTGCTAAGTAGGATAGCCTTGAATCCATAAGATTGGTGTACTAGGGGCAACAGGACTGAGGTGCTCTATCACGCTGGGATTTGAAGCACAGGAACTACAACTAGGTGCGAGAGGCTACTTCAGTTTCTGCGGCATCTTCAGTGCTGGGCTAGAAGCAAGCACATTTCTTTTTTCCGAATGCAAATTTGGGATAGTGTTTATGGCTTATTTTTCCATGGTGTGTCCAGTATAAACTGTAATGAATCCACCAGTATGCTTCAGGTAAGCTACCAAACATCGTTTTCCAACTGGGCATGGTCTGAAGCGTAACTTATGTGTGAAAGGTTCCGTCTCCCATTGCCTGTGCACTGAACTACGGAATTCTGTCACAAGCACTCACACAGCAAGTCAGAAGTTGAATTATTGGTTGCTTTCACAAGGCAGGGGGTTGGGATCTCTGAAGCCAAGTTTTCACACTGGATGCATGCAAAACTTACATGCTCAGACACCCACATGAAGTCTGTGAAGGGACTTCAGCACAAGCATAAGCATTCATTGCACGAGGCACATGCGAAGGAGGGTGTACAGCTGCCTGACCTCATTGGGGAACTGTTACAATACCATTTAATTGGACTTCGATTTTTTTGTCCTCTTAAAAACTAACCTTCTTGTTTCTCTCCAACTTTTACCAGCTCGGATTCTTGACTGGGCTCGCTGATGCCATACACATTAGCAGCTCGCACACGGAATTTGTACTCCCGGTCAGCCTGCAGGTCCTGCACATTGAAAGAGGTGCTGCGGCAGGTAGTGAGATCTGTCCATTTGTTATCCACCGAGTTCCAGATCTCCACAGTGTAGGACTGCACTGCGCTTCCACCATCGTAAGAGGAGCCGTACCACGAGAGGGTGAGGGAGGAACTCCGTATGTCCGACGCACAAGGTGTTCCGGCAGGGGGGTCTGGTTTATCTGCAAAAACATTTGTGAAGCACATTAGATGAAGTCCTGAGGGTAAGAGCTAGGACTTCCATTAGGGTATTACTGGCCCTAGCTTACAGCCTTTTTCTTTCCATGCCCTTGCTCTGCTTCAGAGGTTTGTCCTGCAGGGAGAAGGAACAACTGCAGCACAGACAGACATACCTGAATCAGCTAGGATAGATGCCAATCCCACATGGGCCTCAGCATGGGTTGTTCAGTTCCCTGGGCGCCTTGCTAAGCCATGCTGAAGCCTAATGCCCTGCACAGCTATCATTACAGAAACTATGGATACTAAACCCAGCTATGCCTGCAAGTACGGAAATCAAATCTCCCGCACTAGTGCCAAAACCTCCTTGGTGAACTCCCTTAGAGGTTTACAACTGAAACTGTCACCGTAGCTGTGACGCTCCTTCTCCAGCTGCCCCCATCTGCTTCCATGCTTCAGGGCCACTACTAACCTCTCATCTAACAATACCAGCAGAGATACTAAAGCCAGTTTGTTGGCACAGAAACACAGATCTTGAGGGGTGACAACTTTGTCTGCTAACAATTTAGCGAACAACTTTGCCTATGTGAAGTTTTTGGAAGCCTACTGCACTTTTTGATAAAAAGGAATTCAACTTAGAATACATTATTTAAATATTGAGATTTTCTTAATCTCATGTGCATTTTGGAAATTGCTGGGGAGGTCGAAGATAGAAACTTTTGACTGTTTTTCCTCGGTTAGAGGCTTGCTCCTGCAGTCCTTATGTGCATGAATAGAGCCAATACCATCAGAACCTGGTGTGCAGATGAGCAGCCAACTATGCAATACAAACATGATACAATACAAAAACGTTGCAGTTATATGACTTTTCAAAATGAAGTTTAATGATTACATAGTTATTGAAACGAATGTTTTCCTAAGACAGAAAAATGTTGACTTTTTAAAAAAATCACCGATTAAGAAAAGAATTATGGACATTAAGCACTTCAAAAGACTTTAAAAGGAACAAATATCTTCCTTGGGAATAATCCTCTCAGAAGTAATCTAGCAAAACCTACAAAATAATGATGATGTTGATCTGGACGAACTAGTGGCCAAAGGCTGAATGAGAAATCAAAGGATGGGATAAAATGATGAGATGAAAAGAAAAAGATAGAAAGTGTGAGATGCTACACAGTGGTTACACTGGACACGGACCGATAAAATCCTGTCCCATTTTGCTGGTTAAAGCTGCTAATGGACATTATTGCTTTCTCCTTAAGAAAGGCAGAGCTGGCAAACCAGCCAAAAAATACAGCCACTTTTTCAGCAATAAGAACACCCAAATGCTGGGGAAAACTGCCATGGACTTTGATCAAAGCCTTCCTGTGGCAGACTGTATCAGTTATCCCTCCATACTGAGATTATCCCTCCAAGGAAAATCACCGAATGGACAGAAATGGCCACAGTTTGCCACAAACATGCCTTTAGTTCTTGGACAGAGGGACTTCTTCTCTGACTGCTGTGGTTTTACTTGTAGAGAGGGAAAATGGGGTAGTCTAATCTAATCAAGACAGCTAAATATCAATTCACTGTTTGGAGGAGTGCAAGTTCCGTTGACCAATGATTTCCCTGAAAAAATTGTTGTAATTCCTTTTAGTTCAGTTGTGATGGAAAATCCGTCTCCCTCCACAACTTAAACATATTAGAAGATATATAAATAGAACTTGCTAAGTATGAGGGAAAATACTGGGAGGGAGGAAGGGAGATGGACACTAAGGGTTTGCCACTGCATTCAGCATGAGAATGCCCAGGTGGAAGAAAAAGAGACTGCCAGAACGTAGGTTATCTTCACTCATTTTGGCAACACTTAAAATGCCATTCCACTAGGAGTCATCATTATACAGTCAATCTCCTGTTAAACACAAATATCAGAGACCAGACGTCCTTAACTCTGGGATGGCTTATTGCCCTGCTTAGTTGTCACATTTTACTCAAAGCATTTTCTGGCAGAATAAAAGGGACTATTAACAAGCATGAATTTATAATGGAGATATCATGAACTGAATCGCAGAGAAGATAAATGATTTGTCCAAGATTAGAAAGAGAGATTGTAGCAAAGATGATAACCAAGTCTTGATCTCCTGGTACCCAAACAGCAACACCTTTTTACACTAGTCCTGCCCCAGCCTCCTTGGAGCTGCAAGAAGTGACAGCTCAATGCTCACACCATTCATGGTATCAGAACCCTTGTACAATACTACAATAGCCACTAGAGACCTGGTTGCATGGCACACATGGATTGTTTGATTTTAGTTAAGCAGCAGCGACAGCCATCTTCTTTCT